GATTATAAAACCACGACCATGATTATAACAACCACGACCATGATTATAACAACCACGACTATGATTATAACAACCACGATCATGATTATAACAACCACGACCATGATTATAAAAACCACGACCATGATTATAACAACCACGATCATGATTATAACAACCACGACCATGATTATAACAACCACGAATATGATTATAACAACCACGACCATGATTATAACAACCACGATCATGATTATAACAACCACGACCATGATTATAAAAGCCACGACCATGATTATAATAACCACGATCATGATTATAACAACCACGACCATGATTATAACAACCACGAATATGATTATAACAACCACGACCATGATTATAACAACCACGACTATGATTATAACAACCACGATCATGATTATAACAACCACGACCATGATTATAACAACCACGAATATTATTATAACAATCACGACTATGATTATAACAACCACGACTATGATTATAACAACCACGACTATGATTATAACAACCACGACTATGATTATAACAAACCACGACCATGATTATAACAACCACGACTATGATTATAACAACAACACTATGATTATAACAACCACGAATATGATTATAATAACCACGACCATGATTATAACAACCACGACTATGATTATAACAACCACGACTATGATTATAATAACCACGACCATGATTATAACAACCACGACTATGATTATAATAACCACGACCATGATTATAAAAACCACGACTATGATTATAACAACCACGACCATGATTATAACAACCACGACCATGATTATAAACAACCACAACCATGATTATAACAACCAAGACCATGATTATAACAACCACGACTATGATTATAACAACTACGACCATGATTATAACAACCAAGACTATGATTATAACAACCACGACCATGATTATAACAACCACAAATAAGTTACTTTTTTATTTAAACTTTAATAAATACATCTTCAATTCTTCATTTCCTTTTGTATTGTCCTCTTTAAAACATGTGTGAACTTTTTGTTCACATTTTCGTTAACTGTGAATTCGCAGTTTCCTCTCGAACTTCCCGCACTTTTAGTATATAGCAGACGAAAATGGTATACATGTGCACACACTGCTACCTCCTTTAGTTTCAAATTACCCCACATGTACTATTAGGAAATCACATTTGCAAACACACGCACGCATTCATAGAGATATGATGTCCTCTCATAGACTACACTCATAATATATTGAGTGCATTAATGAAGATATCGATTTAGGACAAGAGTACTAAAGTAATTACACTTTCAAAATTCAATAATTGCATAACCGCACAAAACAAACAATTAATCAATAATATTTGGTCAATCTTTATATGGATCACGAGAAATAGTTGGTTATTAAACAGGAGGAGGTATTTTTTCAACCTCGGTTCAAGTGACCGCGGAGTAACGAACCAGGGCGAGGTAATTTAAAAACTTTACACCAGGGCACAGGCTGTACCACAGTAGTCAAATAAACTACGCTAGCCTAAGTAACATATTAAAATTGTACGATCAGATTATCTAAATACAATGTTCTATGGATCTAAGGCAGGACTGAAGGGTTACATTGTGGGGTACGGGTTATTTTGTGCACACTCAGGATGGGATGGAGAAAGGAAACTCACAATGTGCTCTCAGTATACATATTGTATTTGATGTGCAGCTTGGTGCTGGGAAGGCAGCATGGTTACAAGCGTTGAGTAGAGAGAGCTGGTTGGTGAGGGTGCTCAGAGGAGGACCAGCTTGTGGGTCGCCATGCTCGCCGGCGGGACGAGGCTGCCAGGCAGGCGGAGGAGGAGGTGGTGTTACTTGAAGACTGGCTGTAGGTAGAAAGAGATAGGTCACCACGAGGTCAGGTCTTCTATAAAGGGAGGTAGGGTGGCTTAATAGGTTGACTCCGTCATGTAAGGCGGCGCTGGACCTAGACCACATAATCATGACAATACAAAACACAAAATATGGAGCTAGATAGTTAACATAATAAATAACAACAGAAATTAATTATGGAATAGGGAATAATCATGAACCAGTGACATAGCCTAAATTAGAGGTTATGTGCATACCAGCATACAAATTAACAGATGCTGTACATTCAACAATGTGCACATCTAAGTGCTTGCAAATGTCACAGCATGGTTTGGTACTGTTTATATACTCGTGCAGTACACCGACGGATAGCTGTTCTGAATTTATGTAATGCACTGTATATATGCAAGGTTGGAATAACAATCTTTAAATATAATAAGAGTCCATGTGAGCTTACTTTAATCTAACCTTAGTGCAATTTATGTCTCCTGTAGGGCCAATGGTGTTCTCATGCTAAATGGTGCCATGAGAGGGCGTCGACGGGAGACGGAGGAATCTGAAGTTCGCCAGGTGAGGACTGTATAACTACCCCTTCCTCAATTACCAGGAGTGGGGACTATTGCCAGGTGATCATCAGGGAGGGACTATTGCCAGGTGAGGATCAACGGAGGGACTATTGTGAGGATCAAGGAGGGACTATTGCCAGGTGAGGATCAAGAGGATTATTAGGTGAGGATCAAGAGAGGGACTTTGCCAGGTGAGGATCAAGGGAGGAGATTATTACCAGGTGAGGATCAAGGGAGGACTATTGCCAGGTGAGGATCAAGGGACTATTGCCAGGTGAGGATCAGGGACTATTGCCAGGTGAGGATCAAGGGAGGGGACTATTGCCAGGTGGGGGATCACAATTCTGATCACCACAGTTCTCCCACAGGTGGTGTCAATGTTGGTGGTGGTCGTGGTGCTGTTTGTGGTATGCTGGGGACCCATCCTGGTGGTGAATGTTCTCAAGGCCTACGGCATCCTCCAGCCTACAGCACCACCCTCATGCACATCGTCACCGCCACTGACCTCCTCTCCTACTGTAACAGGTCAAACATGTCTCAGTCCCTAACAGTTTTACAGAGAATGATAATAATACCTATATTCCTTGTTCACTAAGTACAATGTAAAAGACTTTCTTATTCCATCAACTAATTCATCAGCATATTATAAATTAATCCTAGTAACTGAGATAAACATTCTGAATCACAAGATTTCACGATTATACTGAAATATGTCCTTTAGCTGTGTCAACCCCATCGTGTACGGCTTCATGTCCAGGAACTTTCGGGAAAGCTTCTGGCAGGTGCTGTGCTGCCGCCGTTACTTCTACCATCCCAACATGTCCCCCAGATGTCTCTCTCTGTTACCAGGACTTCCATACTCCGCTACAACACTGACACCAGGTAAGCAACTCTAACACCTCCATACACTGCTACTGATGTCTGATGAAAAGTCCCACAGGAAATACAGGTGAGATACAGGGTGACATGGATATACAAATACAGTACATACAGAAATATATACTGTACTTTACTGTACTATTATGCTTTGTACAGTCATCGTTAGTTCCTTACAGTATGACCTGAAATATACACAGTATTGTTTCATGTAAGGCTAACTAACAACCAGAGTTGTAAAAGTACCGAACTTTGTTACTTAAGTAAAAGTATTGTTACATTGAGAATGTTACTCAGGTAGAAGTAAAAGTATCTCATTCATAAAGTACTCAGGTGTTGAAAGTAAAAAGTAACAAAATTATTGTCTCAACTATTAAAGTAAATCCTCAGTAAATTTTAAAAACTAGTTAACTAAGGATAAAAATAAAAGACAGCATTACACATGTTTATTGGCAAATCTTTCTATTGTGATTAATCAATAACTGATTCTCGAAATTATGGCTGTCCAATCAGGATCTCTTAAGCCTAACTATAAGCCCATCATGACCTACTGAAAGAGAATACATTCAGCTCTTCTCCCCACAGTCCATTGCAGGATTTTTTTTTTTAACGGAGAGATTACATTTAGATTGCTCCAACTGGGAATTTATAAGTTCATGCTTGCCTTTATGACTCATGCATTATGGGCGTAAGCCTGAAGGGTCATTTGTTTTGTCAGCAAGTTACATAAAGTGACAGAATGATGAGTGTGTGGGGAAAATTACCGGTACAATTTATCTGTTTATGGCAAGGTGGCAGGTCCCAATAATGTCAAGTGCCAGGCCTGTCGCTGAGGAGGGATATCTGGTCAGGGAGTGAAGAGGTGTTGGTAATGGCTGGGGACCTGTAGGAGGAGGTCATAGGGCAAGTGAGGATGTAGTGAGAGAGGTGTGAGAGTCGGTTGACCACAAAGTTTACAAACAGTGTGGCCAGGCTCAGGGTTCCAATGTACTAGGCGTGGTGAAGTACAGGAGGTGGAGGTGATATGGTGTGGTGGGCAGGCTACAGTAGGGGTGGAGGGAGGCACATAGGCATTGACAATATTGAGGGACATACCTTCTAGTGTGATTGAGATGGCGTGTGCGTTGACATGCCGGTGGGGCATGGCCAGGGGTGGTGTCCTGTGGAGACAGCACAGACACAGTAGCTGGTGCGGCTTGCGATGGGTCGACAGGTTGAGGCACCACGTGTCATGAAGATGAGGCAGGACTGCCTGGGGGCAGCAGACACACCAGGGCAGTCCGGTGGGCGCTACACCAGTAGTGAAGGCAGCCGGTTATGGAGTACCGTGAGCAGGGGCTCAGCAGGACTACCAGCTTGTGTCAAACGAGAAGAGAGGAGTGACTGTGGTAAGAGGGCAAGAGTAGGTCGGAGACAGAGTATAGCGAAGAGGTTTTCAATACAGTTGGTAAATTCTTCGAAGAGGGATATGATCTGTGTCATGTCGCTGGAAGGATTAGCCCACCCGGCACAGGTCACTGACCCACATAAGGCCCTGGGGGCGAAATGTAATACTAAAAAAAATAATAATAATAATAATATAATAATAATAATAAAAAATAATATTAAATAAATAATAATAATAATTTAACTATTATTATATATTAATCAAAAATTAATAACTAAATACTAAAATATAAATAAATATCAAAAATAATATAATAACCATAAATAAATACAAAAACGAAAATTAATCAGAATGAGAAAGGATATACATTATGTATGTTGTGTTGTCGTAGTAAGAGAAACAATTGAGACCCTGCAATTGTGTGTAAATGAGGCAGAAAGTCAGATCAGCAACCTGGGACTTGGTCACACTTCTGATGCCATATGGCAGCAGGGTCTACCATCAGACAACAAATTATGCTTCCAATGTCTTCCCAGGCGGTAGTACCTTGTTTGATAGCTGCCTGCTACCTACAACTTACCTATTTCCATCCACCACTATGATCACTTTCTTCCTTATCCACACAAGTATCGTCGACATGGACTTATGGTCCACAGACATAATGTTGTCTCTGCATTAGGTTAGGATACAGACCTATCCGACATGTACTATCTGGAGGGATGACCCACTCTTTCCTGTAAACTCTGTAACTCTCCCAACACTAACACCCTTCAACACTATTGCCTTGACTGTCCCACTCTCAGGGACTTCCTACCACAGGAGAGTCACCACCTGCTTATTCGTAAAAAATTAGATTTAATTTGTATGCTACCCACACTTTGGTGGGTGCTAATTCCACAATATCTATATCACAAGTCACAGCGTGTCCACGAGACACGAGTACCAATGTGTTTGTGTCTGACCGCATGGTCTTGTGACTGGGCTTGTTGCCCCTGAGGTGTAATGAATTAATTAATAATAAATAACAAGCCCAACATGACTAAACAAATGCTCACAGCAGCAGATACGGATAGTGGGGTGTTAAGCTTGAGAAATAAGTCACATAATGTTGAAGACCTCAGTAGCTCCATTCCATCCCCTAGGCATGCCAAGTAGCTATCAAGTTCCTTCACTTGAGGAGTTTGTGGATTGTTGCCCACAATTCCTGCGTCTGACTAAGACTCACTGTGAACTGTCCTTCTAATTGGGGTCTGGCTGTGGTGACATCACTTTTCGATTCTAATTAAGGAGTGGCTGAATTTTTGCACCATGTAACATTTGGCGGGTGCTGGCGAGGCAGTGTGAACCCAAACATAACGTACCCCACACAGGATGGAGGAGAAATAACTCATACCCGACAAATGGTGACCCCCGGAGAATCGCACTCACACAGGATGGAGGAGAAATGATCACTCTCCCAGTCTTCAAGCAACATGGAAGACTGGCTTAACAACAGAGGCAGCTCTCATCGGCTCTACAGCTACTGTCTCTCACAGCAGGTTAGACACCCTAGAGCAGCACTGCTTCTAAGCAGACACCAGCTCCTCTTCCTGCCCCAAGCACCACGTCCTACCGACCCCCAACACCTGTCCTGCCTCAGACGCCGCCCCCGGCCCAGCAGTACCTCTGCCACTGTCCTGGACCCGCCTCCTGACGCGGACCCTCCTCCGGCCTCTGCCTGGCAGTCCTTGCTCCCGACGCGGCCCATGCACCTGAGTGCGGCCCCACACACCCTTTTTTTTCCTCAGGTACTCCCTGCTACTGTCCTGCACCCTGCTGCTGTCGTGCGCCCTGCTGCTGTCATGCACCTGCTCCTGCATAGACCCTCTTCCTGACGCAGTCCCTGCTCCTGAACCATACCCACACACCCCAGCAGGCGCATCTGAGGATTCTGTACCTGCCGCGAGGGAAGCACAACATTCATCGCCTCCACAACCCTCCTCCTCTCTCCTCCCACAGAGGTCGTGGACAAAGGTGTCTCCACCAGCGGCCGGCTCATCCACGCCCTCGCCGTTATGTCTCACATGTGGCATAAATCCTAGCCAACAACAAGTGTCCTGCACCGCCCGTTCTGTCTCACATGTGGGATGCAACCTGCAGACAACAAGTCTCCTACACCGCCTAAGGGAAGGGGAGTATGTAGTGGATTTCCCCACAAACGCTGTTTGCCGCTGAGTAGCCGACCCCGCGAATTCCCAGTGTATGCCTGTGGTCTGGTTAACCAGCGCCTACATGACGGAGGTCAACTGTTGCCACGCCTACCTCCTATATAAGACCTGACCTCGTGGTGACCTATCTCTTACTACCTACAGCCAGTCTTCAAGCAACATTCCTCCTCCGCTCCTGCCCGGGGCCCTGCCCTGCCGGCGAGCATGGCGACCCACAAGCTGGTCCTCCTCTGAGCATCCTCACCAACCAGCCTTCTACATCATGCTTGTAACCCCACGCTCCCAGCACCAAGCTGCACTGTACATCCAATACAATATGTATACAGAGAGCACATTGTGAGTTTCCTTTCCCCATCCCATCCTGAGTGTGAACCAACAACTCAAGTTCCCCAGCTACTTAGTTATTTAAACAGAATTATGTCAAGCATTTTAAAATCACAGCCTCTTTGAAATTCATTTAAGGTACAGGTATATGCAAAGAGCAACTGACCCTAACTGGTTGACCAAACTCTGAAGGAAAGGTGGGGAGGAGGAGATTCAATGGGGAGGAGGATAAGAGAGTAGGCTAAGTGAGGTGGGTGGTCAAGGCGCTAATGGACACAAGAAGATCAAAGAGAAAGTCCGCTCATGGCCACTGCCACCTGACCTGACGACACCTCACCACGAGACCTCTAGGTATGTGATCGCCTCACATCCCGCGTAATGTCGCCCTACACCCACACCGTACCATTCACGGCTCCACCCACACCATGCCCTTCACCCACACAACTCTTTACTAAAGTTAATAATCGGATGATTAATTAAAATATATTATTAGTTTGCAAGTAACGAGTAACGATTTTTCTTCAATTGTATAAGAGTAAAAGTATTAGAAAATCATAAGAACATAAGAACATAAGAAAATAAGGAGTCTGACAAGGCCGGTTGGCCTGTGCATGGCAGCTCCTGTCTTACTCTATCATCCATGAGTCTATCTAGCCTCCTTTAAAACTTTCCAGCGTTCCAGCACTTACTACAAAGCTAAGTTGTCCATGTCGTCCACCACCCTATTAGAACCAGTTCCTTCCTATCTTCCTCCTAAACCTAAACTTATCCAACTTAAATCCGTTGCTATGAGACCTATCCTGCTCGGATATTATAAGAACTTTAACTATATCTCCTTTATTGATTCCTTTCACCCACTTAAATACTTCTATCATATCTCACCGCACCTCTAGGGAATGCAAGTTTAGTTTCTTTAGTCTATCTTGATATGGAAGGTTTCTAAGTCCGGAATCATTTTCGTCATTCTTCGCTGCACCGACTCCAGTGAATTGATATCCATTCTTTAACAGGCACCAGAATTGAACCGCATAATCGAGATGCGGCCTGACTAGCGCAAGATATAGTTGCAATACCTCTGCATTCTTACATTACACTTCTAGATATAAAACCAACTCTGTTTGCCTTATTTCAAACATTAACGCACTGTTTTCAGGCCGTAAGCATAGTACCTCCGAAGTCTCTTTCTACAAGTCGACTTCACTAGGTTGATGTTGTTAAGGCTGTATACATTGACAGTATTTGTTCTTCCAATATTCAGTACGCTGCACTTGCTGGTGTTGAACTTCATTTGCCATTTTTCTGACCACTCCTGCTGAGCGGCGAGCTTACCACTGAACCACCATGAAGGACGGGATTTTCTTCTCCCTTATTCTTATTATAATCTCTCTGTCTTATATCCTTCATCACCTCAGACCTTCGGTAGCATGGCGAGGGTAGGCACATGGGTACTGTAATTCTGATATTTAGGTTACTGACAAAATATAGATGGATACTGGGAAAAAGAAATACCTAATATTCTCAAGAAATGGTTTATTAATATGAAATCAAAAGAAAATGATGTCATTAACATACAACTACAAGGCTCGACCTTGGCTTAACTCAACTGCAATTCACTTAGATACTTTACAACTCCACTGGTGTTACATTACATACAGCTACCAGGATCAACCTCGCTTCTCAGCTGCAACTCCAATCAGATACTCTCGCTTACAACATAACTGGTGATACATGACATTACATTACATTACAAGACAAACTTACATCTGATACCTTCACAGCACTGTTGTTAGTACATATGGAAGATGCACTCACAACACAACACGTTATTTCTAATACCAACAAATTACACTGCAGTTTATTTAAATCCTCCTGTAGTGCATTTGCATCCTGAATTAATCTGCCGCCCATTTGGTGTCATCCAAACTTGCTTAGGTCACTGCTGATCCAGTATTCAGATCGTTTATGTAGATTATGAACAAGAGTGGGCCCAGTACTCACCCCTGGGAACTCCACTGGTTACACAGGCCCACTCAGATTAACATCATCTACGCTGACCCTCTGTGTTCTATCGGTGAGCCATGATTTTATCCAATTCAAAACTTTCCTCGATACCATGAGCCCTAACTTTTCTCAGAAGCCTCTGATGCGGTACTCTGTCAAATGCTGCTAAAGTCTAAGTAAATATCATCGAATTTTCGTCGTTATCTACTACCCGAAGACTTTCCTAAAAACGTCAGCAGATTTGTTAAACAAGATTTTCCTTTGTAAACCCATGTTGAGAGTCGTGGATTAATTTGCTTTTCTCGAAATGCGATCGGATACTATTTGCTATAATTACTTCAAGAACACTACTGACGTCAAACTAATCGGCCGGTAATTTGACACTGATGCTCTGTCTCTTTTGAATATGGGTACTACATTTGCCTGTTTCCACAAGTCTGGCACAACCCCCGTGTCCAATGATTTGTAAATATATTTACGAGGTGTTAATCTGTTCTTACCTCTTTCAAAATTTGAGGAAAATTTCATCCGCCCTGGGTATTTTGTCTTCTTTTTATTTATCTTCTTAGGAACATCCTCTTTTCTGATACTGATATTCCATAATTTCTTCGTTTCCCCTAAATATCAGTTCCACCTCTGAATTTCCTCTGAATTTTATCTTGAAAACTGATAAGAAGTAGTTGTTTAATGCTTGTTTACTCTCACTTCATCGATCACTTCCCTCCCGTCTTTAAAGGCCCAACTTTGTCCTTGACCTTTGTCCTATATACCTGGAAAAATCCTTGGGATTCGCCTTGGATTCTCTTGCTATCCTGATTTCGTAGTCCCTCTTTGCCTTCCTTACATTTTTCTTAGCATTCCTAGATAGTTCATTATACCTATTTCTGAGCTGCTCCTCCCTCACTTTAATTTCTTATAAATTCCTTTCTTTATTCCTATGTCATGTTTAAATTTTCTGGTCATCTGCCTTGGCTCATTCTTATTTGACCTAATTTTTCTGTATGGTATATTTTGTTCTTGTGCTTTTACGTAGTATATGAGTGAATATATTATAGTCATGATCAATTGTTGTGTCACCCTGTGACCTCACGCATTCCTACTGGGGACTGACCTGACTGTTCCCAAGCAACCTCCTAGGTACCTTCTTAACACCCGATAATCCGCCAATCGAAAGTTTGGGACTCTGACCATATTGTCATTGTTTTCGTTTCCCAATTTAGGGTGAACCTGATTACTCTGTGATCACTGTTCCCTAGTTCTTCCCCTGATATCTCTGATAATATTTTCTTTATTTGTTAATACTAGGTCTAATATATTGTCACCTCTAGGTTCTGTAATTAGTTGTTTCAAAAAATGTCCTGTACTGCATCTAGGAAGTCTTCAGATTCATAGTCACCTACAATGTTGTCCCAGTCAATATTTCTGAAGTTAATCCTCCATAATGCACAGGTTGGTGTATTTTGCTGCCCTACTCATTTCCTGCCATATCTGTTGAGCTGCTTCTTTCCCAAGACTTGGGGCCTGTAAATCACTCCCATAATTAGTTTTCTCTTCCTTCATAATTTCTACCCATACAGACTCGGTTCCAATTTCACCCTTTATTGAATTATTAATACAACATTTTAATGTATCCTGACAAAGAGTGCAGCCCTCCCCTTTCTTATCTTCCCTGTCCTTGTGAAAAAGGTTGTACCCTTCTATGTGGTACTTTGATAAAAAGTTCTTGCTCTGGATTCATCCAAGTTTCGGTGATTGTTATGACGTCTACATTCTGTACATACAACCGCTCTCAGCAAGTCTATTTTATTTCTAACGCTCCTACTGTTTGTATAATATACATTTAAACCTACCTTCCTGGTCCTGTTTACCCTAATACAAGCAAAATACGAAAATACTTTGTAGTACTTTTTGAAAAGTAGATACCCAAAAATGTCACTTGAGTACAGTACTCAAGTAAATTTATTAGTTACTTTACAACTCTGCTAAAACCATAAGGCACAGTATCTCTAAAAGTATTTGCCAGGATGGGTCCGATGACTCCCGAAATGCTTCATGCAATTCGTGATGTCCCGGAGGTTGGTATACATGTACTACATTCAAAAACCGAACATCATATTAATTACGCCAAAATAAATACACAAGGCATTACTTATTATAATACATATCTATCATCCGTGGTCTCATAATGTTTCATATACTGTAGAGTGTGGACAGGTACTTTTTGAGATACTGTACATCACTAGATTTCATCAAAGAGCACTAGATTATATATGAATACAGGTTTGCAAAACTAAACAGAATAAGCCTATTTATAAACTATTTCATGTACAAAAACTATCATAACTCTTTCCAGTTTGTAAACCTTTTTACTTATTCTGATATGTTAAGCATATATTGTGTTCCTGAGCTTGGTGTGAAATTTTTTTATAAGGCCAGCGAGCTTATTTCCTCTCAAGGTCAGTTCTCAATACATAATCACTTTTCATGCTAGCCGAGTATGGAACAGTCGGGTGCAAGCTCAAGAGTCAGGTACCCACTTAGCTATGGTTACAAGTAAGTCATGTTAATTTTTATGTCACCTGTCCTATTCTCATCGGTGAATTATGTTAATATTACAGTCATCAGACACTGCATATGTGCCTGAAGTGCATATCTATGTGATATGTTTCATGGATGGGCATTACCCAATGAAAATTTTCTATGATGTGGATGAATTTTCCCAGATATGGCGTTGTTGAATCTCGATTTGGAAGGTTGCCTTTCAGAGTACAGAGAAGCTTGTACAGGTATCCTTGTTATCTGAATGGATTAGGTTCCTTTAAAACCATTCGAATCCAAGCTTTTCAACAGCAAGTAACAGAACAAATGGAAAAAGTGTATGATTCCCCATGACAAGAAAACCCAAATATATTACCCAAAAGAAAATGAAATCGCTTCATGAGCAACAAAAACCTAACTACAGTAATTGATAAACTAAATAAAATATACCACAGGGGATGAGGAAGGGTGAGCTGAGTAAGGCCTTACTCATTGAGATGAGCTGTCAACTTCATCACTGTTGTCGCTGCTGTGGTGGAAGGAGTGAAAAAATTCTGCTGGTAGTAGGAAGGAAGAAGTTCCACTGGTGGACGAAGTGGGACCGGAAGATGAAGATGCAGTTGTCTGGGATCTGAAGACGGTGACATTTGAAGACGGATGAGGTGGTGGGTTATGTTGCCTTGTTCCTCAGCCGCACTCCTTTCAAGGAGGGTATCTGGCGCTGAACAACAAGCCTCAATGAGGTCAGGGCCCTTAGTCAGGAGCTAAGAGTGAGCCCCTGTTGCTGTTCGTCATCTTCACCCAAATTCTGAGACAGTGAAGTTGTGAACATTCAGATGACGACGGATACCTGTGTACTCTTAAACTATTTGATGATTAGAGAAATGAAGAACTTGTACTCAGCCGCATCCTGTCTTTAAACTAATATTATAGGCTTCTGACTCACCATCATAATAATTGTTCTGTAGACCACTTTAGTCTTCATGGATTCAGTATTCTAGTTTTTGTTGCTTCTTGCCACAAAAATTAACTCTCAAAACTGAAAGCTCCAGTTGTCTGTGTGTTTCATGAATGTTATTGGTGTATAATAATTTATGCTTACCTTTGTAATATCACATTTTCCTTAACTAAAAAGTAGTTGATGTTTTCATTTTTTCATATATCTGACAAATAAGCTACACTGAGGCAGTAGTATGTTGTACCTGTATATTTAGTTGAATGTCTAAAATTTTGTCTCTCTTCCTTCCCTAATGTTTAAAACTCTTTGAAGAAATATTTAGTGACGTTGATTGTCTCTCACACCAATTATTTGTCTTGGCACACTTTTTCCTTAAATTCACATTATGTTCTGTGACCTTTTTTCCTCTTCTAGTACAGTATTTAGTTCGCTGTGTATTTGATCCATAATCAGCATTTCTGAAAGCGATTACTGTATTGTGATATTTAAAAAAATTAAAAATTCTCAACATATTGGGTGCAAGAGCATGATTTATTTTTTCACTGAAACAAGTCTATCTTACATTTTAAATTATTGGTTTAAATTTACTCCAAAGTTTAATTCTAACTTGAAAATTAATAAAAATAGCTTCTAAGACGCACAGGTTGATTAATAAGAAAATCTAATGGGGTAATTATTTGAAGGACCATTTACATTATCAAAATTATAAATTAATACAATAATTTAATCAGATCTATAATTTTTAAATCAGATTCTTAATCAGCATGTCTGGAAGTACTTGTACTATTATGGCACTGTACTGAATTTGGAACAAATTATTTTTTTGGATGAAAAAGGCCATAATGGGCAAAATTATTTCATGGGTCACTTATTTTTCCTGTTCTGTGGATCTCGAAACCACTTCTCCCCAGAGCTCTGTGAACCCTGGCGGCATGTTATCCCTTAAGGACACCAATTTCAGCTGCTGATAGTCTCTATATGCATACCTGGGTCCTGAGGCCTGGGTACCTATCCTTCCCTTGGGTCCTGTGGTCACTCATGATGGCTCTACATACACAAATTGTACTTGTATTAAACCTTGTCTCTTGCCTGTGATCCCTTAATTGTAATGTTTTTGCTCTAAATTTATTGATTATTTCCCAAATCCTGTTTTATTATTATAATAGCTACTAAGGACTCTCTCTTCTTGCAGTCAGGGTCGCAATACAACCAACGGCGGACCTGTGATGATCAAAACACCGTCATAAGTCTTTCAGCCAGATGTTTCAAACCCAACATCTGAAATATTCTCTCTCATCTTAATCTCAGTAAATATTTTGTTCTCTTAACCAATTTTTCAGTCCCACTTCTCTTCTATTCTTAGCTTCAACATCCCACCCCGTATATTCTTTTTTAGCTGCTTTTCACATTTTTTTATTTTTATTCTGTCAGTGTCTGTTGTGTTTTCTAGTCCTCAGCTGTTTTGTGTTATCATCCTTGAATAACATATTGTCTCAAGTGTTCTAAGACATACCCCATGTTGTCTCCTCTAAGCCAGTTGTTTCAACTGCAGGACTTATTATGTCCTCTCGTAACTGCAAACACCAAGTGTCACTGCTGGCACCCTTGAAGAAATGGTGCCACAACACGTTTACCATAGTGTGTTGTGCTCTACCACCAAGATATAGAACGTATTATATACTTTATAGCCCCTTGATGTGCAGCATTTTGTCCTGTGACTGCAACTTATAATCATGAAGTATTAAAGTTAGGTTTTGTCCCATGTGTGAGCTTCCTGCGGCATCCAGTGACCAGGGCGCGTGCCTTTCAAGCGACCTGTGTGGCTGAGTCCCATCTGCCAACATCTGTCAGTGTAACATGCCGTCTATGCAGTGCAGACGTTTACTGGTACTTTTTAGAAAATAATGCTTTTCAACATATGTCACCTGCAGAGGTACCAAGGAAAAAACATCCATATATCAGAGGAGGATGGAAGTAGGTGAATTTCACCATCTCTACAAGGAACTTCGCCAAAATCAAGGTTCACGAATACGTATACCAGAATGTATTCCGATTGGGGACGAGGCCTACCCACTCTGCATATATTTGTTTGAACCCTATCCAAGAATGCTCTGAACAAAGAAAAATAAATTTTAATGACAGATTGTCACGTGCCAGGCGTGTTGTAGAGTGTGCAATTGGAATTTGTACAGGTAAATGGAAAATGTTAAATAAAGCTATTGAAACAAAGGTAGATACTGCTGTTGACATTGCAAAATGTGCTACACTTTTCCTATTATCATTGACACAAGAGTCTAGACGCAAAGTCATATGCACTTCAGAATGTACAATTGAGAATAACACAGCAGCTTCTAGAATAAGCAATGTTTCACATTCTTCTGCAAAGAATATGAGAGAAACATTTTGCAGCTACTTTAATAGTCCACAAGGATCTACTTCTTGGCAAGATCAAGCTGATAACAGTGGAAAATTAATGTACTGAACAGTATGACTTTTTTTAGTTTTGGTGTAGAATACGAGGACTCGCGCAACTGAGGAAGCGACGATCAAAATATTTGATTGCTGCTTCCAGGTCGTGCATCGAGTTCCTGCTTCCTGGTCGCTCGAGAATGTTTCCTGCGTCTACACATCAAAACACATACGTTTGTCTACATCAAGGAAGCGTGTTTACTCGTGGGCCGCTCGATGCCGCAGGACTCTCGCACATGGGACATAGCCTTATATTGTGCTGAAGTCACAAGTAACCAGTCATGTTTTTGTCATAACTAGACTTAAACCATGCAGTGCTGTTGTAAACTTGAAAGGTTAATATTGACGACTGACCTGCGGATGAGTTATTTGTTTTACTGTTTTTTTCTTACTTTATTTTCATCAGTGAGTTCTGATATGATATTAATTTTTTGTCTTCTCGGCAGTAATGCGGCGGTGACGTTGTGGGGTTATGAGATATTGGTTCACACTCAGGATGGGATGGAGAAGGAAACTCACAATGTGCTCTCTGTATACATATTGTATTGGCTGTACAATGCAGCGGTGCTGGGGGTGGCAGCATGGGTCCAAGCGTGGAGTAGAAGGCTGGTTAGTGAGGGTGCTCAGAGGAGGACCAGCTTGTGGGTCGCCATGGTCGCCGGCGGGAGCGAGGGCCACCAGGCAGAGTGGAGGAGGTGTTGCTTGCTGGTGGCTGTAGGTAGAAGGGGTCACCACGAAGAGGTCTTATATAGCGGAGGTAGGCGAGCGATAGTTGACCTCAGTTATGTTAGGCGGCGCTGGTTGCCGACCTTGACCTCGAGGCGCAGGCTGGGCAATTCGAGGTCGGTTAGTCGCGGCGGTTGTAGGAGAATCCACTACAACGTCTCATCCCAGTATGTAAACAGCCAATCATACTGACGTATTTCAAAACACTTTGCCGCCCGGGTCGGAACCCCAATGCTTCATGTATGCTCTCACGTTTAATTTAAAATAACCACTTTTTAAACACATTTGCAAAAATGTGTCCACTATAAACACAGTGAAATTGTGGCGTTTTTATAATCATTTTCTATGAAAAATCGGTCACGAGTCAGTCGTCAATAATTACCACTTGAGATATTGTGTTATTTCATAACCCTAAAAGTATTGTCATAAGTTCATAACCATTAAGCATTTATCCTTCAGTGTCATGATGTAAACTATCCTGTCTCATAACCGGAAGTATTGTTCTATCTCCGTGAAGAATAAACTCAACTGTAAGAATAGCAGCATAGTGTGGCTGGAACATCTCGACCACACCTAAATTACTATTGCATAGTATTGATGTTCATCACCACTGGGAATGTACTTTATATTTCATTGTCCCTATGTAAGTTTTACAAATATGTAATTTCAATGAGAATGAAAACAGTTTCTGATAATAATGGACAAGTGTTCTCTTTTCTTTAAGGTGTCTACCAATAAGAGTTCATACCAGCGCTATTAGCATCCCAGGGTAGAAGTTTATCTCTTGCAGTTCAGTTGTGTTATCTATCCACCTGAAATATCTCAAATTCTGCACTAAATGTTCATACAACACGAGTATATTCAATATTCATATTTTGTAATTTCTTAACTTGATCTGTACTATTGCCTAATCCACTAATA